GCAATGGAAACAAATTTCATCCCCAACATCCATAAAATTTATCCCTTTAATTGATAATTTTCATGTAAAATAAAGTCAAACGAACACAAAAAAACACTTTTATTTCAACATTTTTCACGTGAAAAATTATACCAATCAAACACAATAATTTACAATTTCCAGGAAAATAATTTTTAGGCAATTCAATTTCTTGGAATTCGTTTTCAATTCAATTCAATTCCATCTTTATAATTAAACGGACCCTAAGTGGAATCGAAATATATTGACCAAGTTGTCCAATCGAAATTCAGGGTCAACAAAGCATATTCGCAATATTTTTAAATTGTCGTGAAACGGAAGATTGATGCAGCATCCCAAGGCCAACCGTATGAAAGTGCATGGTCAATTTGTGCGTTCTTGTTTTTTTTTGGGACCAGTAGTGAATTGAATTAACAATTGACACGTTTTATGATGTACGATTTGTTTGAGAGCGAAGCGTACACGTAATCGCTTGGTCGGCCGAAGCATAAATTTAACAGCGATGATAACGGTGAAAACTAACATCGCCGGCGCGCGTAAAGGCGTAACCAGCTCCAATTTCCCACGCTATATTTATTTATTGTGTAATTTAAACGGGGAGAATAAATTTTGACGTCTATTTTTAATCCATGTAGTATATCCCCATGGTATGTATGCGATATTAATAGAATTGATTTCATATATGTAGATATTTGGCCCCCAGTTTATTTCCCAATTTTGAAAGAATGAGAATGTAAAATATAGTCGTTTCGAACCCCACTCAAGAGATCGAAATTCAAATTTGATGGCTTGATGTGATGAATAACGATCATATTTTTTTCATTTTAATGAGGAAAAAATGGGAATCAAACATGGACTTAGTTACAATTCACATAAATGAATGAATTCCTCGCAAATCTATTTTACAAATTCCACTACAAGAATAAGATGAAAGCCTTCCAAATAAGGATATTTTATATGAGTTCTGCCTACGTAACATGTCAATCTTCACCCTTCAATTTACTCAAATGTATATTAATAATAGAACTCGAAAAGATCACATTAAATAAACAAAGATAATGCTATTGCGCACTCTCTACAAAGAGTATAGTTTGAGAATCACACCTTAAATTAAATAATGTGATTGTATAAAAGATATCTATTTGTGCGCCCTAATTTCGAGCCACCTATTTTTGTAGGATGGGTGGATTAACCTATCTAAGAATTTAAATAGTCAATGTTTTGCCCCACAATTCATATTACACCAAAGTGGAAAATTCAATTATAATATTCTCTCAAGTAGGAAATAATAGCTCAATTATCTATAAACGAAAAATGACATACAATGAGTAAAACTTTTTGTAGCTTTAAGCCCCGTTTTTGTAATAGTGATTTTTAGGATATGTGTAATTGAAAAGTATTTCAAAAAATTAGGTTTATGTACAAAATTATTTTATTGAGGGCCTGTTTGGGCCCAATTTTTTTACCAAAAAAATTAATTTTTTTATCATTATTTCACTATTCCAGTCGTCTTATTTGACTTTTTCTCTCATAGGTGGACCCCACTTTTCTCCTAACGATAAAAAAATCAATTCTCAAAATCACTCCCAAACAACCCCTAAAAGAATTCAGGGTTGAAAATGAATTTAAAAAAATGAGTTTATATGGAATGGGGACCGAACAAGAGCGTTGTATCAACGATTTTACCAATAATACTTTTTAAAACAAGCATGCGTGAATATAAAATCTCAAAGCATACTGTATATATGTTACATAAGTATTATTAATTGTTCTTGACTCTCGATAAAATATTTATTTGTGGCGTAACATGTCTAAAAGTTACAATTATATGAATTACACACCAAAGTCGAAAATTCAATTATAATATTTTCTTAATTATAAAACAATAGCTCAATCATTTGTATAATTGTACACTGAGTAAATTTTATGCATCATTAAGTATAATTTCATCAATAATATTTTCGAAACTAGAGTGCAAGGATAATGAAAATCTTAGAGTTTGATATATTTTATGTAAGTATCTTTGATTCTGAAACAAATATTTATGAATAATTCGCCAATAGTAATGGACAAAATTACGAACAATCATAAATTCTTAAATCCATGAATGGCCGACTTCTTAAGTTTATGAAAAGGTTGTAATACTCAAGATTTCCATACTTTACTGAACGTTAACTTTATATCATGCACTATTCTAACTTGTGATGAATAAAATACTAGAGTCGATTTTAAGTTGTTCAAAATAAGCTTTCCTTTTATAATTATGATTTGAATATTTTGCTCGTGCAATGCCCACAAACACATTTATCTACGAGTGTCGACTAGAATATTTATGTGTGTACAAATTGAAAAATGGTATATGGGTGTAGATCTTCGGTACATAAAATAAAATTCCGGTTGACGTGAGTGGAAATCGAAAAGACAGGTTCCATAGATTGCTACAAACCTCTACTTAATAATTGTACAATAATTTATTTTTATTGAAACATACACAAAACACATGCCAAATTTCCTAATTAAGCGCAATGCCCATCTTCCGCTGTCCTTCAATATCGAGTAATCAATATTTGATATTTGCTTGACATTAATTAATATTATGCAAGTGTTATTAATTATTGATCAAATATCTTAAAATTAAAATTTCAATAATTACCTAACAATTCATAGTAAACACCATAGTCATAATTCCAAAGAACAATAAATATAGCTCAATTCTTATAAGAAAAATTGCCCTTTGAGTACAAATTATGTATCATTAAATACAATGATGTAATCGTGATTCTATCAATCACACTTTCAAAACAAGTTTGCGCGGATAATGAAAATCTTAGAGCACGGTGCATTTTATGTAAATATCGACTTTCAATTCAAATATTTATGAACATGATCTCGAGTAATCTTGACTTTAAAATTTTTTATTACACGGGATCACCGTCATTCAATGAACAATCAAAGTCACATATGAATTCTAACACCATACACGCACATTTTAACTTATATATTACGAACTCTTCTAATTTGATTTTTATGATTCTATTCTTGCATGCAAAGAAACCAAAACAATCATTAGAACCACTTTTCAAATGTCTTTAGACATTTTGGACTCAAAAAGTATTTACGATGAAAAACAAATTTCAATATACCCTAATATTGTAAAATTTTCATGTACCTTTGTCAATTTATATATTTTCTATGTTATTCAATGAAATGTTATTCTAATTATTTTTAACACACTTACGAGATAAATTCCCTAACGAAGGACCATGCCAACCGTGCACAATCCTTCGATGAGAGTCGAAATGGAATCATAATATTCATTACATAGAAAACAATAGCTCCATTGTTAAGAAGAAAAAATGTTGGGCAATGATAATTTTATGTATCATTAAGTTCAATATAATATTGTGATATCATAATTTTATCGATAATATTATCAAAACGAGCACAAAAATATTGAAAATCCAATTATAATTTTGAATAGAAAACAAATGTTATGTACCATCAAATACAATCTTATCTTATGCAATCACAATTTTATCAATAATACTTTCAAAAGACTTTGCATGGACAATGAAACTATTAATATGATAGACTTTACATAAATATTATTAATTATCCTCAACTGTAGATACAAATATTTATGAGCATAATCTCGGACAATCTTGACCTTATAAATTTTTATTACACTACATCCGTGTAATCCAATGATTGGTCAAAGATGCATTCAAATTCTAACACATTACACAAGCATATTTGGAGTTGTATATAATCGGTTTACATTATAAATAAATATAAATATGTAGTGTATAAGTAAATAGTACATGTAAGTCACACAAAATGAACGCATAAAAAGTGGTTTGACTTGTAGACAATAGATAGAGCTTATTTGGGAGTGATTTTAAGAATTGATTTTTTGATCGTTAGAAAAAAAGTGGGGTTCACCTGTGAGAGAAGAAGTCAAATATGACGGCTAAAATAGTAAAATAACGGTCAAAAATTTAATTTTTTGGGTGAAAAAATCGTTCCCAAACAGACTCATAAATAAGTGCAAAACACGTGCACGCACATCCAAATATGCGCGTATATATTATGAAATCTAGTAGTTCAGTTTTTTTATTTTTTATGGTTCTATTCTTGCGAGCAAAGAAACCAAAACAAAAAACAAACATTAGAAATCTCTATACCACTTTTCAAATGTCTTTTGACATTTTGGACACACAACATTTGTGCTAAAAATGAATTTCAACAAACCCTATTTTTTTCAAAAGCTTGCCTTTGACAATTTTTCCAATTCTTGATCTCGTTTTACAAATGCATATTTAGTACATGGTATAAAACTCTACTTAATAACAGTACAATAATTTAATTTTTGGATAGAATTTAATCTAACTTATTAAAAAATACACAACATGCATACCAAATTTCCCAATGAAGGCCAATGCCAGTCTCCCCAATCCTTCAATGAGAGTACGTACATGTCTGAAAATTTAGTATTTGATATTTGCTCAACAATTCATATTATCCCTAAGTCCAAATTGGAATTATAATATCTTATTACATAAAAACAATGCCTCAATTGTATCGTCAAGTTAAATATAATATCACACGACCGCAATTTATTGACAATATTTTCAAAACGAGCACAAAGATAATGAAACCATTAGAGCAAAAGTTTACGCAAGTATTACTAATTATCTTTGAATCTTTATCAAATATCTAAAAATTAAATAGTCAATAATTTCCCAACAACTCACACATCAAGCATTTTAATCATTAAATACAATATAATCTGACGCAATTGCGATTTTATCAAAAATACTTTAAAAACAAGTTTGCAAGGATTATGAAAATCTTAGAGCATGATATTTTTCTTTACGTAAATATCATTAATTATATTTGACTTTACGTCGATTTTTTATGAGTATAATCTCGAGTATTCTTGACTTTTTAAATTCCCAATTACATGAGATTTCCGTAATACAAAGAACGGATAAGGTCGCTCGCACCTATATTCTAATACCTTACACACGCTCTTTAGTCACGTATATATTATGAATTCTTCTAGTTTAATTTTTATGATTCTATTCTTGCAAGCAAAGAAACCAAAACAAAAACAAACATTAGAACCACTTTTTAAATACCTTCCAATGTTTTAGACACAAAATTACGTGTGACGAAAAATAAAGTTCAACATAAACTAATTTTGTAAAACTTTCTTGATGTCCCAAAGAAATAAATTAAATACATGAGATAAATTTCATAATGAAGGACCGTGCCAACCTTGCACAGTCCTTTAACGAGAGTGGGGTATAGGTTGTATCTCTGATTTCTTCAACCAAAAATATAAATTAATGCACTTTAAGAGAGAGAAAATAAGTAGATAGCGAAAATAAGTAGAGAGAGGGAGTAAATGGAGGCAGGGCGCGAGAGAGAGAGCTGTCTCGTGAACCCAGTAAGTGAAGAAAAAGCTCTTTTCTTTCCTGTACTCTCTTCTTCTTCTTCTTTCTTCGTCCACATACTCTCTTTACTCTCCATACCTTCTCTGTAAAAACCTTGCTTTCTCCCTAAAGCAATTCCGTTTCTAACTCTAACATTCACATTCATTCTTTCCTTACCTTTTGAATCACGGGATCCCCATCAATTCTTTTTCTCTTTTCCGTTTCTATCCCTTTTCATGTATTCTTTAAAGTTTCAATCTGTCTCTCTCCATTGTTGCTTCACATTGATGAGATACACTGAGGGAAACTGAAAAAAGAACCCAACCGGAGAGGGAAAAGTGTATACACAGAGGATTGTATAGAGGAGAGTGAGTGTGGGAGTGTGTGAAAATGTCGCATCAGGGGAAATCTACGTCGGAGCTACGGTTACAAGCGCTGTCGGATCGGTTAAGGAATACGCTAAGTTACGATGAAGAGGATAACGGTGTCAACGTTAATAAGCCGGACTTTCGGGAACTCGATCTGGGATCGCCTGTTTCGCCGCTGCGGCATCGGGCTTGTAGAGTCAGTGCCTCCACCGCCACTACACCCAGCAGCAGTTCCAGTTCCTCTGGATCGGTGTCTGGCCGGAGCACTGCCGGGGTCCACTCGAATCCACCTAGGAAATCCAATTCCAACAGTCACTCAGGTGAGCTTTCGAGTTGTTCCGTGGGAAGTTCCCCATCGGCGGTGCGTAACTCCAATCCTGGTAATACTCGCACCGCTTCGGGCGGTACTCACCAGTTAATTTACTCCAGTGGTGGCTCTGTCAACTCTCCAGCGGTCAATGTGCTCCCCAACGGGAACATTTGCCCTTCCGGCAGGGTCTTAAAGACCGGCATGGCCAGTAGGCCAACTAAGACAGACGTTTTGGGGTCTGGGACGGGCAATTACGGCCATGGCAGCATAATGCGGGGTGGTCCTTCATCAAAGCCCAGCGTCACAAAGGACAGCCGACCCATAAATTACTCGAGAGGATTAATAGTTGGTGGAGAGTCAGTGAAGAGAACGGGAACATATAATAATGATGATGCAGAGGAGTTGAAAAAAAGGGGGAATGAGAATTACAGGAAGGGAAATTTTGCAGAGGCTTTAGCCTTTTACAGTAAAGCAATTGCCGTATCCCCAAGCAATGCCGCTTACCATTTCAATCGAGCCGCTACTTTAATTGGGCTTAGGAGATTGGCTGAGGCTGTTCGGGAATGTGAAGAGGCTATAAAGTTGGATCCAGGGTACGTGAGGGCGCATCATCGTTTAGGATCTTTGCTTCTTAGGTGAGACCTTGCACAAAGTTCTAATCTTTTGCTTGTTAACTATTCAGGTTTTCGGTATAGGTGCAAAATCAATGCTGTTTCATAGTTATTCTTTAGAATGTGGTGTTTGTGATCTACACTGGTGAAAAGTTTTTGATTCTATAATAGGTTTTGAGCTAGATCTGGTTCATTTGATTATTTCTGTTTTTTGGTTTTTTATTTGTTTCGTTGTGGCTAATGTCTCTGCTACGTATTCTTTTTGGATCCCATTGTGATAGGGCCATCATTGGTCTTTTTCTCGGACAACTGTATGTTTTCCTTCTCTGTTATTGTGGCTCCAAGTTTGTAGGCTGGATGACATACAAATTTTCTGTGGCAATGGGCCACTATTAAGGTTTGAAGTAGTAGGATTCACAGCCACATTTTAGTTTCTTAATAGCTTGGAATGTGTCGTGGATTATTACTTGAGTTCACTCGATTGTTCTGAGTAGTGGTCGAACTAGTTCAGTTTTTTTTTTTTTTTTTTTTTTTTTTTTTTTTTTTTCACTTGACTTCTTCTCAGTTTTCTCTTAAAAGAATCGTTGATGAAAATCTCATGTTTGTGAATGATTTTCATCTCCATTTGCTGTAGATGTCCTTTTTCCCACTTTTTATTGTCCATTTTGCATTAAGCAACCTAATTTATCCAAGGATTGTAGTTTAGGACAGGTTGAGAATGCCAGAAAGCACCTTTGTTACCCAGGGTATCAGGCAGATGCAGTCGAGTTGCAGAAGCTGCAAGCAGTTGAGAAGCATCTAAACAAGTGCACTGATGCCCGGAGAGTTGGTGACTGGAGAAATACATTGAGTGAAGTTGATGCTGCCATTGCTTCTGGTGCTGATGCCTCACCACAGGTTAGTACTTCCTACGTATCTACTCGATTGTTGACCTAGGGCTTGTTTGGCTAAATTCTAAAAAGTTTTAAGTATATATGTTTGAAAGTATGCCATTAATCAAAATTGAGAATTATAACTACTTGTTAAGGTAAGAGTAAACTTTTAAAATGGGTATTTCTTTTACTTGAAAGTAAGGAAAAAGATAGTAGCATATCTAACGTGTTTGGAAATTTTGGAAATAAAAGTTTCTTTTAAGTAACTTTATGCTCTTGAAGGTAAGCCAAAATGCTCCTATTGATCAGAATGGGAAAGGTAAGTGCTGTTACTGAACTGGTTGCATATGAATCAACAGCTTTGTGCATGTAGAGCAGAAGCTCTCTTGAAGCTCCTCCAACTAGACGATGCTTTTTTAGCAATCTCGGACATTCCTAAATTTGAACTGTCTACTGGGAAGATTTTCGGGATGCTTTTTGAAGCATATATATTCTTTGTTAGAGCCCAAATTGAGTTGGCAAGAGGGAGGTGAGTTTCAGAACCTTTGCACTCCATCAGACAAAAGGAAATAAAGATTCAGAGTATGAGATGTATGATGAATACCTGCAGGTTTGAAAATGCACTTACAGATGTTGAGAAAGCGAGAAAAGTTGACCCACGTAATGTTGAAATCTCGGTTATGCTCAATAATGTGAGATTGGTGGGCCGAGCGCGTGCTCGTGGGAATGATCTTTTCAAGTCTGAAAGGTTTACTGAAGCATGTTCGGCTTATGGTGAAGGGCTTAGGCTCGATCCTTTTAATTCCGTTCTTTATTGCAATAGAGCGGCTTGTTGGTTTAAGCTTGGACAGTGGCAACTGTCAGTGGATGATTGCAACCAAGCTCTTTGTTTTCAGCCCAATTACATTAAAGCTCTTCTTCGAAGGGCTGCCTCAAACTGCAAGGTGAAATGCCTCCTCGAAGTACTACACATTCTAAAATTTTCCACCAAAATTCTATAAAATGTGCAAACTTGATTGTATTTGAAATTCACTGTATATCTAATTGCACACTGTTGATTATAGCTTGAACGGTGGGACGAAGCTGTAAGAGATTATGAGCTTTTGAGAAGGGAACTCCCCAATGACAACGAGATTGCCGAATCTCTATTTCATGCGCAGGTTGCACAGAAGAAATCATGTGGAGAAGAGGTTTATAATCTGAAATTTGGGGGTGAAGTGGAGTCAGTTTCAGGGCTTGAGCAGTTTCAAGCTGCAACCTCTTCTCCTAGTAAGCATGTTGATAATTGTGCCTTTTGCTCATTCTTATTGTTTCTAACTATGATCCAATTATTCATAATTGAAAGAATGCAGGTGTATCTGTCGTCCATTTTAAAGCGGTATCCAACCTACAATGCAAGCGCATCTCGCCATTCTTGGACACGTTATGCACTCGATATCCATCAATAAATTTTCTTAAGGTCATTGATCTAATTCATTGTTCATTATCATTCATTCTTTTACAGTTATTCATTTTTCTTTTATATGGCCCTGTTTGATTTCCATTCTACTCAAAATGCATTTTTCTCTCTTCTTTTCAACCATACATTCTTTATTAAAATAATATTACACGTAAATAAAAAAGTTTTCCTTATTTTTCATCCACGCATTCTCCATTAATTTATTATTTTAAAATTCATTTTTCCATAAAAACGGGTGCCAAACACCCTCATAGTTGTGGTTTTAAGCTTCGCCCTGTCACATTTTGCTAATCCTAAAAAATGTAACACTACTTTTCTGTAAAGTAATTAAAGACTTACCATCGAAAAAGTTTGTTTTTGGTCGAAACATTCCCCCCAAAAGTAAGTGGACTGAAAAACAGGACGTGTTTAGATAAATAATGTTAAAACGTATATTTGTCTTCAATTGTAGGTGGATATAGAAGAGAGTCCTGCTGTTGCACGTGCTGAGAATGTTAGAATTGTGCCAACGTTCAAGATATACAGAAAAGGCAGCCGAGTGAAGGAAATGATCTGTCCAAGTCCAGAGGTGTTGGAGGCTTCGGTACGACATTATAGTTTCTAGAGCTCGGTCATATTATCCTTCTCTACCTTCATCTCATGCACATTCCTGAAACCACAGCTTACTGGAAACAGCCTTTAGTCCCACCATATTAGAATTATTAGTTATCTGTGGCATAATTGGAACTATACACAATAATCCCCCCTACCGTATTCACCAAGTGCCTGTGAAATGCAAACCCATAGCATAGTACTTTTTGCATTTCTATCTATTCTTTCGTTTGTAATTGTTGTCCAGTTCAATCTTCGTCCATTATTTCAATCTGTTTGGACCATGTTTCCGACCCTTTTCGAGTAGATCGGCCCCTTTCAAGTATATCTCCATTCGACAAAAGATTAGTGAGAAAGATATACAACATTATTTGAGTTCGACGCTTGGCTAAATTTAGTGCGAGGATAGAGAGGAATCCCATGCTGGTTGGGTAGCTTTTAAGATGGGATCTGTACATGTATATACATGATGATGATATATACACATTGGTGGCCCATTGAAGGGTAATGAATTTCCAGTGGTTACTTATTGTGTTAGTGATAGAAGAATGAACATGAAATCATTGATAGTAATGTTTCTTTGCTCAACATTGAATTAATAAAATTTATCCAGATTTTTTCATCCTTGAAGTCCTATGTATTATCCCAATAGACTTTGTTGAGTACAGTTCCAACATAGTATTACTGTTTCTCTCATTCAATGAATAGAATTATTCGCATTTGTTTTAGGTAGCGATTTAGTCTATGTTACAAGGTTTCGATTATTTTTTATAGTTGTCAGCTGACCAGGTTTGCCCGGTACACTTAATCGTTGTTTGACTCTAATTCAGTATACCAAACATGCATTACTTTTTCATTTTCCGACTCAGTCGAATGAGCTTCGAATAAAGGATGAAAGCAACACCTTATCCATGGGATAATATATGCTAATATTATAATGTTGGAATGTTGATGGCATTCTTGATTTATAGGCATTTAACCTGCCATCCTTAATTTAATGGAGTATTTTAGGATATACTTGCAGGCTGGGTGATCTATTATTACATTGTTTGTGGAGATGTAGTTCAAATAATTAGGTGCAAAAGGCCAAGTCAAAAGCTCTCTTCTTGAGGGTTTGTCTGCTTTGTAAAATATAAATCACATGTCAGCATTAAAGTTTGCTAGCTTCCAAACAGTCCCCACCCCCACCCAACTAAAAGGGCTTCAAAAGTCGGTCGAAAAACAGTATTGCCTTTGAGATATGTGTCTGACTGTCATTTGGCCGGCGTGATTGTCTACTGTTTTAATGAATTTCTTGTGTTCATTCTTGCGTGTATTTCTTTGACTTAAACCTCAGAAATTTGCACAGTTGTGTTCACACGACACGAGATGATACGATACTATATAGTTGTATCTAAGCAGTCGAAAGCATTTTCTTGTTTTCTTATGTTCATAATAAGGTCTGCTCGACCCACTGAAGTTTCTAGTTCAATCGATTAAAATACCATTAAGACACAAGCTACGAGTTTGAGTGCTGAACGGTGATGGGAGTATGGACCGGAGGGAATTAAAAATTTTGGTTTGGGGTAAGAGATCTAAGAGGTCTGTTTTCCTGCTCATAGTATGTAGGATAAAAACATTCTACTGCTGCCTTCAGGTAAGATGTGACGAGAACTTAAAGGCTGTAGTGAGAAATTTTTGAAAAATTTTGATTGTACAGAATTTTTGTTACAGATTATATTGAAAAAATATAACCACCCACCTTATGAACAGTGTTATCTGTATGTTGTCTGTAAAATTATTATCTATAAGTGTAGTGTGTTTCGAAATTTTTAACCTACCTTCAATTTCAAGAGATCTAAAGCTAGGAAGAGGGAACTCAAAGGAAACATAGGATTCTTATAGTACTTGACCGTACTGCAGATTCTGAGAAAATGATAATAAAATCTAGGGTATTTTTAAAAATGTCTAATTTCATGGGTGTCAATTGAAAAATATTCACTTTTTAAATTTAACACTAAATTGTCTATTATGCCCTTAATGGAAAAAAGAAGCAATTTATTTATTTTTTCAATTTGTTGCGAATTTTGAGAAGTAGTTTTCATGAGAAGCTACATTAAAATAATGTTATCGACATTTCAAATGTTATTCTCGATATTCGAATCCTGTTTTTATTTTAAAAGTATCCATGTCAAAATACAATATTAAATGTTCTCGACATTTTAAATATTTAGAA